TAAACATGATATGGGAAAATAATTAAAATGATTTATGATATGAATAGAATGATGTGCTAACTGAGATTCTCTAACATAATCTTGGTTAATCCATTGTAACAATAGGCAGACCAAGCTTATCATCACAGCCCTTCCTTGTTGAGCTGTCTGACGACGGGGTGTCTGACAACTGGGGTAGAACCCCCCTCACGCACCCCTCCATGCCCCATACCATAAACAAGAGGGTGTCATCAGCTTCCTAAGGCTGGGAGTTACCTTGACAGTGATCAAAATATAGCATGGAAGTCCTTGTCATAACCCAAATGTTTAACGGTTTTTATTTCAGAGGTCTCTAGATTCAAATACGGTAACAGTTTGACATATGGGGACTCTAGGTAATACATTTTGAGAGATCCAGCAGTGTTAGAAATTTCGAACTAGTCCTGTAGTCCTTGCAAAACTGACCAATGGTTAAGGTATCATAAGCGGTCATACTAAATAACGCCCGGGGGCGTCCGGAAACGTCCGGGAGCGTCCGGAAGGGTCCGGGCAATGCCAGGGAGCGTCCGGGAGAATGATACTAAATAATAAAGTGTATTCTCTATAATTGTGTTCTTGTATTAATTATACAAAATAACATATAGCTGGAAAAAAACATTACACACACCCCTATTCTTATTAAATGGTGAATCTGCAAAGCAAATACGATTTGATTTTATTCGAACTGACGAGGTATTCGTAACCTGGGCTTTGAAGGATACAATCTAAATTTGCTTATGGAACAAAAATAATGTTCTTTTATAGTGTCATATTCTGCACGGTATTTTTAAATTCCCCGACGTCTGATGAAAACTCTCGGACGTTTCCGGATGTCTGATGAAACCTCCCGGATGTTTCCGGATGTCTGATGAGACCTCCCGGACGTTTCCGGATGTCTGATGAAACCTCCCGGACGTTTCAATGTCTGATGAAACCTCCCGGACGTTTCCGGATGTCTGATGAAACCTCCCGGACGTTTCAATGTCTGATGAAACCTCCCGGACGTTTCCGGATGTCTGATGAAACCTCCCGGACGTTTCCGGATGTCTGATGAAACCTCCCGGACGTTTCCGGACGCCCCCGGGCGTTCCCGGGCGTCCCCGGACGTTAAATAGTAGGACCCATCATAAGCACTAGTAGAAATTTGCCATTTTAATGTATTTCTATACCTTATCATTATAAGGCCAAGTGGACTAAAAATGTTAAGTTTCTACCGCTGTCCAGGCGTTAAATATAGCTCCCAGGGTGACCACTGTACTACCAGCAAATATAGCTCCCAGGGTGACCACTGTACTACCAGCAAATTAAATACTGAGTATGTGTGAAGCCATATGCTTATTTCAGAAGGAGATTTCCTTGTCTCAAGCAGGAGACATCGTGTTTGAGTGAAGAAAATCTAACAGTGACTGTATTTAACAGAACCAAGACATCAGCTAAATCTTACACACATGCTTCAAAGTAATTAGTTTCAATGATTCCAATATCCACAAACTTTTGCATCCAATGGGACCGACAGAGGACATTACATGTACTTTGTCATTTGTTTGTGAGTTGAGTAAAACCTTCTGAGGTCAATCACAGTGAGCGATAACATCTTCATTGCAAGGGAAGTAAAGTTAACACAAGAATGAGAGATTCCATCACTATTTTATGTTACTATTTTTCTATTTCAGTACGCAAAGTTAAGTATGAAAGTCAAGGGGTCATTGTCATAAAGTTGTTTTTTTTGTTTTTTTTGTTTGTTGTTTAACGTCACACTCAGCGATATTCAAGCTATATGGCGGCAGTCTGTAAATAATCAGGTCTGGACCAGACAATCCAGTGATTGATATCAAGAGCATCGATCCATGCAATTTGGATACGATGATATGCATCAAACCAATCAGCGAGCCTGACCACCCGATCCCGTTAGTCGCCTCCTACGACACCTTTTCACCTTATATGGCAAGCATGGGTTGCTACAGACCTATTCTACCCAGGATCCAAAAGTTAAAGACCTCGTAAATCTTGGTCTCCCAAGGTAAATGCTAAAGACTTCGATTCAAATACCTTAGTCATACACTCAAAGGACCCAAGGATCGCCCTTTATTTTAAGGGTCTGGTCATTTATTGTAGGGGTGGGAGCAATCTCATTAAAATCAGATCTTAGCCCTCGCTACCGCTAAAGAAAGATCTGAGGACATCCCATTACAGGTCACGTCAGGCTGACCTTGCGCAAACTTTGACCGACAAATGGAATGACCAATCAGAAGGCAGCTTTCTCGTGCTTTACAGCACTGATTTCAAATTGGCGACTATGCTTCGAAACATATTTTGACAAATTCTCGACTACAAATTTGCAACCTGAACAAAAGAACATTCTTGAATAGCTAATAGTTGGGCTAGATTGTCTGGATTCAGTCTTTAAACCCGAAACTATCGTTCGGAATAAAGATTTCGAGGTTGCATGATGAGAAATCCTATTCCGACTGTCACTTTCATAATCTGCTAAGCGACGCTCTGATTGGTCGGATGAAAGGGCGTTCTGACGTGAGCCCTAATGTGATGTCTTCAGATCTTTGTTTAGTGGTAGCGAGAACTAAGGTCTGATTTTAATTGGATTGGGGTGGGAGTGACGCCAGGGGTGGGAGTGACGCCAGGGATGGGGGTGCGGAGTGGACGAGATCGGTCTCAGGGATGTATCATATTTTGCTGAAGGGCTCTTATAAATAGGTACTGTACAATGTACGTCAAAACCCTAAACCATCATGACAACCATCAAACTGAACTGCCTCACAGTTGTGTGTCTTGGCTTGTCAGAGTAACCTCCCTTGAAACATCACTGGCATCACCCAGATCACAAGCTTGTAACATCTACTCGTCGCCGCTGGTGCAGGGTGAGAAAGAAGTGTACAAATGCTTGTCCTACCAGGCGAGTACATATTTCAATCGTATCAATTCATCTCTTAATCAAAGTCAATAAAATACCACTTTATGTTCAGTATAGTGTAAACCCAAGTAAAATGTGCACCCCCCTCTAGCTGATTCAGTATTTTGAATATTTTTTTCAGCAAATACAGGTACAGGAACAGGTGATAACAAACTTGGACGAACTTTAAATTTGAGATAAAACATCATTAGACATTATGATTTACCGTTTAAATTGTATTTCTTGTTCTGCTAGGCATTGTTTTAAGAGCAAAGATAAAGATTACAGTGTATTTCCTCGTAAACTAAGCTGGAAACAGCGATCAGCTGTACACACGTTTTCTTCCAATCTACTGGTGATACAGTTCAAAATTACCCATTAATACAACTTATTTTGATGCAATGATTGGAAGAATTGTATCTGAAACTATTAGTATTATTTTATCAGGAATAATATATTCCAATATCGTTTTATTATTGTTGCACCTTTAGAATATATATATTTAAAATAATAATAACCATAAGTTAGGCAATATTGTACCGGTGATCGCTATTGCCAGAATGTTTTTTATGCATTATACAGTTTGACCAATCATTATCGAGGCTCCCACACCAGCAATTGCGAAAACTTTATGGTGACATATTATAGTCAAACAACCACAAATAAGACTTTTAACGAGTCAAAGAATGACATTTAAACAAAGGTTCAAGACAGTGTAAAAATGTCTCTACACTTAGGAATATTTTGACTAACAAAAAATCCCAATTTTGACATCAATAATAATTATTTGTTCCCTGTTGGAATCCTATTGTTTTATATCCATATACTATCTCATGATACTCATGAAACAATGTTACGTACTACCCACAAGGTGTCCGGATTCACCAACCTCATGTATAGAGTTTCGAATCTCCAGAGTATAGTATCTCCACTCTATTGTGATCAATACCCTGTACAAGGGATGGCTGTTGGAGATTTAAAGTGTATCACAATAATTAGCGATGTACAAGGCCGAATTGCGATACGTATCACAATATATTGTATAATTCTAACTTTTGAATTCAGAAGCAATCTGATACATTAAGGTGTGAACTGACGTTCACAACAAATGGAACAAAACAAGATGCTGGTACAATATGATGTTTACTCAGTCAATAATTATGTAGCAGGGCGTGGAGTCATCCCACAGATGACATCCTTACCTTGTCAGTTTGCTGACGGGGGTTAATCTCTTTGGTCATGTAGACAAGGTGTCCGACCTCGGATCAGAAGGTCTGTGGTTCGAATCCTATCACATTAGATCATCTGCTATGACTGTGTCTTGTTTAGCGACTGGTATAAAGTCTATTTATAGTGTTGCATCTGTCCAATCAAGACACACCACTTGTGTGAATAGAAACTAAGCGATGAAATTATCAACTTTAATAACAGGGGTAGAAACTAACACTTTCAGTCCACTAGTCGTTATAATGATAAAATATTGCAAAACCCCTAGAAATTGCATATTATTTGTATTAAAACATATAATCGTATTTCAGTTACAAACTGGTAACAAATACAAACGAATCAGGACAGTTGGCAGAGCTCTATGCAAAGAGGAAGACAACATCTTCACAATTATAGTTTGTTTGTTTGTTTGTTTGATGTTTAATGCCAAACTCAGCAATATTCCAGCTATATGACGGGGGTCTGTAAATAATTGAGTCTTGACCAGACAATCCAGTGATTGACATCATGAGCATCGATCTAAGCAGTTGGGATACGCTGACATGCATCAACCAAATCAGCAAGCCTGACCATCCGATTCTGTTCACCCAATCCCGTTAGTCACCTCTTACGACAAGCACAGTCGCCTTCACAATTAAAGATGACTAGGAACAGCCATATGATTGATGAATGATAAAAGAGACTGAAAGAATTGTCTTCTTTGCTGAGGAAGGCAAACAAGAAACTTCTCTCAAGACGCATGTTTGATATCGAAACATCATAATCAAAATGATCAAAAAGACAGAATTCTGACTTTGGATGCCACATCACATGCCTGCAGTAAACTGGAATGGAGAAAGTGACTGACCTCTGCCTGTATGGAGAAGACGTTGGACACAATGCTGAGTTCCTTGGTCTCTGGGTTCTTCTGTACACTGCAAATGCAATACAACATAGATGTGCTTGTTCCAGGGCGACCAATACAACTACAGAGGATTCTGTATATAGGCAAGATCTGTTAAGCCAGCTTTCCAGAACAGAGAGAAATCTAATTCCAGCAAGAGTAACACCCGTGAGGTGAAATGGAGTTTAGCATCGCGTTCAAGATTATTGCACTTTTATAAACACGTGCGTGTACGTCTGGCTGCTTGTACTAGTCTGGACTGATGCTGATTTTTTAGTGCTAGCCCGCTGAGATACCATGCCGCAGTTTAACATGAATACCCCACTCGCACACAGAATACTGACTCTCATCCGACTGGTCCTTGTTTTAACAACAAGTACCATCTTTTTAATGCCCGAGCTTCCACTCTTCGGGCAGACACTCTACCACTAGACCACGGAAGCAATCTGGCCACTCTCTATGGATGTATCAGTGTGTCATAGTATTAGTGCAATATTGTATCAGTGTATCATTGTGTCAGTGTACCATTGTATCAGTGTATCATTGTGTCAGTGAATCATTGTGTCAGTGAATCATTGTGTCAGTGAATCGTTGTGTCAGTGTACCATTGTATCAGTGTATCATTGTGTCAGTGAATCGTTGTGTCAGTGTTCCATTGTATCAGTGTACCATTGTATCAGTGTATTATTGTGTCAGTGAATCGTTGTGTCAGTGAATCATTGTGTCAGTGTACCATTGTATCAGTGTACCATTGTATCAGTTTATCATTGTGTCAGTGAATCGGTGTGTCAGTGAATCGTTGTGTCAGTGTACCATTGTATCAGTGTACCATTGTGTCAGTGAATCATTGTGTCATTGAATCGTTGTGTCAGTGTACCATTGTATCAGTGTACCATTGTATCAGTGTATTATTATGTTAGTGAATCGTTGTGTCAGTGAATCATTGTGTCAGTGTACCATTGTGTCGTATCATTGTGTCAGTGAATCGTTGTGTCAGTGTACCATTGTATCAGTGTACCATAGTGTCAGTGAATCATTGTGTCAGTGAATCGTTGTGTCAGTGAATCCTTGTGTCAGTGAATCGTCAGTGCATGGTTGTGTCAGTGCATGGTCGTCAGTGAATCGTTGTGTCAGGGAATCATTGTGTCAGTGTAACATTGCATCAATTAAACATTGTGTCAGTGAATCGTTGTGTCAGTGTATTGTTGTCAGTGAATCTTTGTGTCAGTCTGTCATTGTGTCAGTCTGTAACAGAGTGTCAGAGATGCCCTACCTGATGAGGTCTTTGTAGAGAGTCTTGGTAAACTCCAGGTACTTGTCCACCATGTCCTCATACTGACACAACTTGCCTCCCAGACACACATGCTTGAACAGGCGGAACAGGAACTCATCCCGGTCCGCATCACTGAATGTGTCGTAGTTGTCAGAATCCTCCAACAGCAACACCTGTAATGAAGCACAAGGGACACTGCACACAGCTGACACATACACCTGGTGACACTGCGCACAGCAGACACATACACACCTGGTGACACTTCACACAGCAGACACATACACACCTGGTGACACTTCACACAGCAGACACATACACACCTGGTGACACTTCACACAGCAGACACATACACACCTAGTGACACTTCACACAGCACACACATACACACGTGGTGACATTGCACACAGCACACACATACACACCTGGTGACACTGCACACAGCAGACACATACACACCTGGAGACACTTCACACAGCAGACACATACACACCTGGTGATACTGCACACAGCAGACACATACACACCTGGTGACACTGCACACAGCAGACACATACACACCTGGTGACACTTCACACAGCACACACATACACTCGTGGTGACACTTCACACAGCACACACATACACACCTGGTGACACTGCACACAGCAGACACATACACACGTGGTGACACTTCACACAGCACAAACATACACACCTGGAGACACTTCACACAGCAGACACATACACACCTGGTGACACTGCACACAGCAGACACATACACACCTGGTGACACTGCACACAGCAGACACATACACACCTGGAGACACTTCACACAGCAGACACATACACACCTGGTGACACTTCACACAGCAGACACATACACACCTGGTGACACTGCACACAGCAGACACATACACACGTGGTGACACTACACACAGCAGACACATACACGTCTGGTGACACTTCACACAGCAGACACATACACACCTGGTGACACTGCACACAGCAGACACATACACACCTGGTGACACTGCACACAGCAGACATATACACACCTGGTGACACTTCACACAGCAGACACATACACCTGGTGACACTTCACACAACAGACACATACACACCTGGTGACACTTCACACAGCAGACACACACACACCTGGTGACACTTCACACAGCAGACACATACACCTGGTGACACTTCACACAGCAGACACATACACACCTGGTGACACAACACACAGCAGACACATACACACCTGGTGACACTTCACACAGCAGACACATACACACCTGGTGACACTGCACACAGCAGACACATACACACCTGGTGACACTTCACACAGCAGACACATACACACCTGCTGACACTGCACACAGCAGACACATACACACCTGGTGACACTTCACACAGCAGACACATACACCTGGTGACACTTCACACAGCAGACACATACACACCTGGTGACACTTCACACAGCAGACACACACACACCTGGTGACACTTCACACAGCAGACACATACACCTGGTGACACTTCACACAGCAGACACATACACACCTGGTGACACTGCACACAGCAGACACATACACACCTGGTGACACTGCACACAGCAGACACATACACACCTGGTGACACTTCACACAGCAGACACATACACCTGGTGACACTTCACACAACAGACACATACACACCTGGTGACACTTCACACAGCAGACACACACACACCTGGTGACACTTCACACAGCAGACACATACACCTGGTGACACTTCACACAGCAGACACATACACACCTGGTGACACAACACACAGCAGACACATACACACCTGGTGACACTTCACACAGCAGACACATACACACCTGGTGACACTGCACACAGCAGACACATACACACCTGGTGACACTTCACACAGCAGACACATACACACCTGCTGACACTGCACACAGCAGACACATACACACCTGGTGACACTTCACACAGCAGACACATACACCTGGTGACACTTCACACAGCAGACACATACACACCTGGTGACACTTCACACAGCAGACACACACACACCTGGTGACACTTCACACAGCAGACACATACACCTGGTGACACTTCACACAGCAGACACATACACACCTGGTGACACTGCACACAGCAGACACATACACACCTGGTGACACTGCACATAGCAGACACATACACACCTGGTGACACTTCACACAGCAGACACATACACCTGGTGACACTTCACACAGCAGACACATACACACCTGGTGACACTGCACACAGCAGACACATACACCTGGTGACACTTCACACAGCAGACACATACACACCTGGTGACACTTCACACAGCAGACACATACACACCTGGTGACACTTCACACAGCAGACACATACACATGTGGTGACACTTCACACAGCACACACATACACACGTGGTGACACTGCACACAGCACACACATACACACCTGGTGACACTGCACACAGCAGACACATACACACCTGGAGACACTTCACACAGCAGACACATACACACCTGGTGACACTGCACACAGCAGACACATACACACCTGGTGACACTGCACACAGCAGACACATACACACGTGGTGACACTTCACACAGCACACACATACACACGTGGTGACACTTCACACAGCACACACATACACACCTGGTGACACTGCACACAGCAGACACATACACACGTGGTGACACTGCACACACATACACACCTGGAGACACTTCACACAGCAGACACATACACACCTGGTGACACTGCACACAGCAGACACATACACACCTGGTGACACTGCACACAGCAGACATATACACACCTGGTGACACTTCACACAGCAGACACATACACCTGGTGACACTTCACACAACAGACACATACACACCTGGTGACACTTCACACAGCAGACACACACACACCTGGTGACACTTCACACAGCAGACACATACACCTGGTGACACTTCACACAGCAGACACATACACACCTGGTGACACAACACACAGCAGACACATACACACCTGGTGACACTTCACACAGCAGACACATACACACCTGCTGACACTTCACACAGCAGACACATACACCTGGTGACACTTCACACAGCAGACACATACACACCTGCTGACACTGCACACAGCAGACACATACACCTGGTGACACTGCACACAGCAGACACATACACACCTGGTGACACTGCACACAGCAGACACATACACACCTGGTTACACTTCACACAGCAGACACATACACACCTGGTGACACTTGCACAAAGCAAGCTTCGCACAAAAACATTTGTACCTCCCATACTTTAACATAGACTAATATAGTCTTAGTGCTGAGATTGCTAAGCCTGTTCCACACTGCAATCTCCCAGCTACTCATCCTGAGTCAATAATAGACAACAAAAGTGTTTCTGAAATTGATATGTTTTCAGATTTGTAAAACATCAAAATGAAATTCTGTTTGTTTTAAAGCAGAAATATATAGTTTCCATGCAAGGTGTCTTGCAGAGGCCTAGACACAGGAGTATTTTCTTATTGATAACGGAAATCATCACACATTCTGACCTCAGAAACTCAGTGACAGGATCAATGATATCAATACCTTTCTAAGTTCATCTGCGATTGTAAAATCTTCATAGAATTCATCAAGACATTTATGCAAATGACCGTTTTCTCTGGCGATGTTGTTCTCGTAGAGCCGGTCAAAAAACGACATGGACAGAACAGAACACGGAACGGCCTTGACCTTCACAGACTTGGCTGGAATACCTGGAGGGAAGGAATGATACAGATAAGCCCATTAACAGGATTCATACTCAGGTAAAACCAACAAAACCAGGTTCCACTCTCACGATTGAAGCTTGAGACTCATGCCTATCAGACTTAATTGTTTCTATGAGAGTGAGTGACTCAAAATTTATTGTTGCATCAGCTTATTTCAGCCATATTGCGACGGTTAGGTGCAGTTGTAAGATCAATCACTAAGTCATTAATATGACCTAATATTCAGAGTTGGAAATATCTGTCTGCTTGTGCCAGGTAGCATTTCTGTTGGGATAGCTGCAATTTTGTCCACCTGTCAGACCATATGCCAACTGACACAATCATGCATCACTGATGCTATCATTGACACTGGCACTTAAACATACCAGGCCCCATCACCTGTAAACATATTGTGACATGTCTCTGAAACATTCAGAGCAAAAGAACTCAGGTATTTGTCCAGGATTTGTAACCATAGTATCTAAAGCAGGCAGATCATTGTTTCAGTGAATCATTGCGTCAGTGAGTTGTTGTGTCAGTGTAACATTGCATCAATTAAACATTGTGTCAGTGAATTGGTGTGTCAGTGAATCATTGTGTCAGTGAATCGTTGCGTCAGTGAATCATTGTGTCAGTGAATCGATCAGGCAAAAAGCATCATTTTTTCACAAAACTGGAACTGTCATAAGTCCTTTTTTTTCAAATTAAATTTATTTATCACAGCAGTTTGAAATGATGTCGAACAAAGTATTGAAGCTTTTTCTTTTCATTATTGGTCCAGAGCTCACGATAGGTTGTGTAAAACACGCAAATCAAATCACCATTACTCAATTAATTTAGAGTTGCGTACGTACAAATACCCATGAAAATTGCAAAACCCTAATAGTATAACAACTCTCTACATATTACCCAGTCAACAGTAGAAACAAACATTTTTAATCCACTAGTCCTTGTAATGATAACATACAGCAAAACCCATAATAATTGCAAATTTCTACTGGTCCTTATATGATACCCTCACTATTGGGCAATTTGGCAAGGATCACAGTGCCAATTTCTAACGCTGCCAAGTATCCTTTTCCCAGCTGTGTATGCATACTCTTTACAGATCTATATTTACAGGCATCACATATCACACATACATGATCTCTGAGTGCACAGTGAATAATGCATCACAAAGGGGGTTACATCTCGCTTATTGTTAATCAGACATGCATATTGATGTATGGGTTCATGTGCCCATCTTCCCGAGGCAAGGGAGTTAACTGACTTTAAAAGTCCAGTTTCCACCCTTGCCGAACTAGGCTGGAATTACTGGGCTCGATCGTTGCGCCACCAGTGGCTATTACCAATTATGTCCCTTCTAAGCCTCTCCTATGGACCAATCAGATTCCACTTCTCGTATCACTTGCATTTGCTTCACACAAAATGGTGGCGCCCAGTCAGGACGATCTGATCGATAATCAAGATCTATATTGTGATAAAACGGGTCTTACATCGCGAAATGCATCAAATCACGTGAGCAACTTAATTAAAAACATGAACAGATTTGGAAAATATCTGCTGACAACGAATTGGCGGTGCACATGCTTTGCAAATCCTGCAATCGATCGAAATCTGCACGACAGTTTACGAACCAGATTTTGATTTCGGTGCGCAATTTTGATTGGACTATGCATAGACATGTTAGTCCAGACAAAATGTAACTCCATAATACCAGCCTAGTTCGGCAAGGGTGGAAACTGGACTTTTATAGCCAGTTAACTCCTTTGCCTCGGGAAGATGTCATGTGCCATGCTATACACCTCAGGCAGCATTTGAACAGATACAAATTAGAAGCCACCTGAAACAGCATTTTAAGCAGAGTTATTGAAATAAAATGTCCATCACTGGTGCAAAGCTACCCAATGGACAGGACCAGAGTGTGTAAAAAAAGTGAACATCAACTATCAATACCCGATGTGAATGATAATTTGTACGGCTGTAACGATTCCTTTACCTATGGTATCAACGATACTTAGGTTCACATGATACTCTTAATCCTCATCTTGTGAGATCATGATGTGCCATAAATAGACCAGGATCTAATAGAGTTACTGTCTGTAATGTCAGAGGAAGCATAGCGCTAACTGCAAGCATGGCAGAACACAAGGACGTGGTACCTGAAAACCTGCCAAATAATTTGACGTTTAATAACCATCCCTTCATTTAAAACTGTTTTGTTCTAATTTTTTTTCTTTATAAAAGTTCTTCACATAACAATTAAGTATAAAGAAAGAGGTTTTAGATCTGTATTTCAGTGATTTCATCATTTCTTACAATTATATGTGTATTGTGATACCAGTAGTATCGTCAGTCGTGATACGAATCAAATGGCAAGATACCAGGCAATGCTCTGCTCTAATAATTTGTTAGTAAATACTTACGTAATAGCTAAAACATTTATCTGGAGCCCTGTCAGTCCTGTCATTAGTGAAACACAAGTCACCTGTGCAAAACTAAATCATTACCCTCATGTGTTATAGATGAGTGAGTGAGTGAGTATGGTTTTACGCCGCTTTTAGCAATATTCCAGCAATATCACGGCGGGGGACACCAGAAATGGGCTTCACACATTGTACCCATGTCGGGAATCGAACCCGGGTCTTCGGCGTGACGAGCGAACGCTTTAACCACTAGGCTACCCGACCGCCCCTGTTATAGATGATAAAAGTTTAACTTGGGAATAATTAATTCCAATATGGGATTGCTTACATTTGCTCTATGCCTCAAGCTCAATATGACCCTCTCAGACAAATCCCTGGGTGCCGTTGTACAAAGCGATCTTAGCGCTAAGGTGATCGTAACACCTGCACCTTAACATACGACAGTCGTAGCGCTAAGGTTGTTTTGTACAACGGCACCTGGACACATACCACGAAAAAACAGAGGGTCATGTTGTGGGTGTAGTCCAGCTCCCTGGGGTCCACAAGCCGAATTGTGATATGCTTACTGTGGTATGTACTACTTTCAGCAAACATTTCATGTGTGGAATTTAGAGCGTTTACACATACACTTCGCATGTTTCAACTTGCAGTGACAGCCAAACATATTACCTACCCACAGGGCTCCAGCGACAGGTAGCGGACACAGTCTGCAACGTTGACAGAATTTCAGGATCATTCATGAAGTCCTATAATGATAAGAGAGATTTAATACACAGAATCCTCTGAGGAGTGAGTGAGTATGGTTTTACGCTGCTTTTTAGCAATATTCCAGCAATATCATGGCAGGGAACACCAGAAACGGGCTTCACACAATGTGCCCATGTGGGGAATAGTACCCAGATCTTCAGCGTGACAAGTGAACACTTTAACCACTAGGCTACCCCACCGCCCAAATCCTCTGAGCAGAAAAACAAAGTGTCATGCACAAAACTTGCAGTCTCAAAATCAAACTTTTTTTAAAATGATTGCAAAGATTATCAAACAACTCTGATATAAGTAGCCTTTTTCATTAAGGGCTGGCCCAGTCGTCTAAGGTGACACAATTTGCTGTGTAGAATTGGGGACCTTGGGCACACCAGATACCTATGATCATTTGTTCAAATCCCAGTTCGCCTCAATTGTTTCTAGGTTTGTCAGCACCATACCCGTGCTCGTGCTTTTTACCACTGTAGTAAACATCTGAGGCCTGCATCACTTCGGGCTTTCCTCCCACATTAAGCTGACACGCCATGACATAACTAGAATATTGTTCAAAACGGCATTAAACCCAACTCACTGGAGAGATTCAGAAGGAGGGCTTTCCTCCTAGCCATGGAAAAGAAACATGATGAAAGTGTCACAGCAATGTTTTACAAGGAAATCGACCAGGCAAAGGAAACCATGATATTTGGATGTCGAAAATTCATATTCGAGCCATGCTATTCAGCCATATTTCTAGTAATAAATAATAAATTTCTAAAACAGTGTGAGTGTGAAGGCAGTTAAGTTATGTGACAAGCTGGCTGTACCTGAACAAAACGTTCCTTCTGGTATGCTTGAAATGGTTGGTCAAAACTGTACATCTGTAACTTGATCCTTCCTTTCATTGACCTGAAAAACAAATTATGTTCTATAGTAAACATGGTAATTAAGGACCCCTCATATCACTTTGTTTGTTGTTTCACACGGCTCTCAGTAATATTCCAGCTTTGGTGGCCTATACACAATCAGGTCTGGACCAGACAAATCAGTGATTGCTTTTGTGAGCAACAACTCAAGCTGTGAGGGTACGACACATTATCAACCATGTGTCTAAGCCTGACTACCTGTTCCTACGATCACCTTTTTCGATGGGTTGCTTATCAGTATGAGCTTGGGACCTATTACAACTTGGAATCCGCTCATGTCACTTCTCTGTGCATCTTCACGAGGCAAGAGAGTTAACTGACTTTAAAAGTTTAGTTTCCACCCTTGCTGAACTAGACTGGAATTACTGGGCTCGATCGTAGCGCCACCAGTGGCTATTACCAGTTATGTCCCTTCTAAGCCTCTCCTATGGACCAATGGGATTCCACCTCTTGTATCACTTGCGTTTGCTTCACACAAAATGGTGGCGCCCAGTCAGGATGATCTGATCGATAATCAGGATTTATATTGTGATAAAACAGGTCTTAAATCGCAAAATGCATCAATTCACGTGAGCACCTTGATTAAAATCATGAAAAGATTTGGAAATATCTGCTGACAACAAGTTGGCGGTGCACACGTTTTGCAAATCCTGCAATCGACAGAAATCTGCATGATAGTTTACGAACCGGATTTCGATTTCGGTGCGCGATTTTGAATCAACTATGCATAGACTCGTTAGTCCAGCCAAAATGTAACTCCATAATACCAGCCTTGGCAAGGGTGGAAACTGGACTTTTATAGTCAGTTAACTCATTTGCCTCGGGAAGATGTTCTCTGTGATGACTGTGATGACTCGAACTCATGACCTTCGGATTGTTAGCCCAACAGCTAACCAACTGAGCTACATCCACACTGTGAAACTAATTTACCTAGTCATGCCTACGACATTACAGAGCTGAACGAAAAGTCTATGGACACTTAGTGATCTCGATGCCATTTGGCATACTCGTCCCATTGCGTAATCTACAAGATACCGTGTGCTTAGGAATGAGCCAATTCGGGAACTGAAAACGCTGTCAGACGTCAGACGTCGAACTCGCCTGTACGCATGAATGACATTGTATTTAATAATTCGTCGGGTTATTTTTGTGACAGAAAAGTGTGGTAGGTCACACTGTAAGGATAATCTAGATCATCATAAGGAACGAGGAAGCATGTCTGGTGATGCCAAAAGGGTGAGTCCACATTTGAATCATTACTGAATAAATGTAGCAGGTGAAAGTGGCATGTGTAAATGCTCCTGGATAGTTTCCAGTAGCCAAAATATACGGCACTAAACTATTTCATCCTGCTTTCTCGACGTTTTGTGGGAAGAATATTAGGAGCCACTATAGAATCTATAGTAGCCAATAAACGGTACCAAACCCTGATGATCGTAATGTTTGAGTTGATAGATCGTAAAGGGGATCCAAGAGATAAGGATAGAGTTTGGGTAATCTAACAGCCACTCACAGGTACCTAACCCTAATGATCGAAAATGGTTGATTGATCGTAAAGGAGATCCAATGGTTAAGGATAGAGTTCGAAGTAACCCAAACACTGGCGACATTTGGATGTGTTCAGTACCAATATAATATACCTAATAAACTGCATTCCTGTGCATAATAATGAAAAGTTATTGACTCGAAAAAAAATAATATACTTATATTAATTCCCATCCACTTGCATTCAGAAAAATACGAAATAAAAAATATATTGAAAATAATAGTGATTTCATAAACTAGTTGTTGGTGTAAAATGAGCCGCCGCAGTCTATATTTAGTAAACAAATATTCAAAACGCTAAGTATTGCTCGGATTATTCAGTGACAATGCGTGTGGAGATGATAGATCACTGAGAGAAGCTTATGCACCCTCGATGACCTGTGAACTCCCACGGCATTGTTTCGCTGGTGTAACTGGCAACAAAATGCTTCAAATTACCATCATAGGCTGTTGTAATGTGCTTGAAATGTTTCTGGTACTGTATTCTAAAGGTAGGCCCAGCATATAAATAATTGTGACAAACAGTGATTGATAGGAAGAGCAATACTCTCTGATAATAATAATAATATTAATAATAATAATAATGATGATGATGATGATGATGATGATAATAATAATAATAATGTGGATTTTTATATAGCATCAATTTCATCCATTAGCATGCTCAAGTCGCTAGCATTATTACCCCAGTCCATTGATATTTTTAAAGCATAGGTCTTCTATCACAAGCACATGTATTGGGACTACTAATGGTCTAAACATCGCTATTTATGAGTTGTTGCGATTTCACAAACTGAGCGTGCCTGTTCGGAGTCCTTAGCAACTGTCTAAGTGTAACAGTTTATGGTGATAATTTATTTGACAGCGGTGTAGATTCAAAAAAGGAAACTCAAAGCACCATTTCAATAAATCGTCCTGGTTGTCTTTTCCGTCAACAACATCGAAACGCTTTCCACTTAGCTGTTTGAACGAGAATTTTACTTCGCGGTCGGCCATTTTGATAATATGGGTTTTACTAAAAGTATCGAAACGAATTTAGATTTACTTTCTTTATAAATCTTTTCTAAGAAAATATCATGAATGTTTTAGAAAACACAATACGTCTAGTTACTTAGTGAAATATGTACGAGTGTCAAAATATAGTAAGATCATTGTTACTTGGGATCAAGTCGTACGAACAGTGATTTTATGTGCGCTTTCACTCACGTTCAAGTTTACTACAATAATCACAATGCATGGGTGTTATACCATGTATGGTTTTGGGCTCTTGGTTTTGTTGGCCTTTTTTCTAATGGAGTTATATCGATTTGTGTCCCGACATAATTTTCTTCTTTTCGTCAGGACAGCGCAGATTGTTTTAGTAAGAACAGATTAAGCATTGGTAAATTATCTCCCTTGTTTTGAATTTGTCGTCTGCTCGAGGCTGGTGTTGTTGGACAGGATTTGCTGGTTCGTGAGCGTAAGTACTCAACGATATTGAATTTATCGTTTCCGTGTGTGATCTGCTTCAGCTTCCATGAAATGAAGACATGATCGGCTTCTTATATTTTATTTAATGTGGCGTTTCGAAAAGAAAACGTTCATTCCGACGCAAAATCCCATTCAGTGTGCCGATAGTATGGCCCCTATAACAATCTATTAATGTCGAAATGATATTTATTATGTTAATGGAATTCAGAGAGAAGTACATATTACTTAATCAACTAATTATAATGTCCCAGAAAATGAACCGATCTGAAAATCTGCACCCTAGTCTCATATAGATCTAATTGCCGCTTTTGAAATAAACCTCACAAGATGCAGAGCTCCGGATAACTTTTTGAGCAATTGAGTTTTTACTCTAGGGTTTCTATTTTAATTGGGTTATTGCATTTTCCATTGGGTAACCAATATTTTTTCACTCATCTATGCATCAATTTATTGGGTTTTTCCCAAAATTAGTGAACTTTTTAAGATTTAAAAAAAATAAAATGAAATAGTGTTTTAGATGTCTATATATCTAAATTTGATCGTAATTGTGTTTCGGAAAATAGCTCCTTTGAACGCATCCTAAAAAAGCTTCATTGGGAATTTACGCGAGTTGTTTTCATACATTTTCATTTAATGCATGCGTTTCTGTAAGCAAGTTAATTGAAAGTAATTGGGTTTTGAGTATTATTGGGGGGTATTTTACGCAAATACGCTGCTTATCTATAGATCTGAAGATGCATGTTGTTCCCAAATGCATGAGTACGTGATAGACTATGACATACGTACTCTTCCAGTGTAGGGTTGGACCAGGAACGTGACATTGATATTCTTGCAATTTTGAGTGGTGGGCGAGCTAACACTCATTTGATGCCATATTTGGTGACTGGTGTTATTATATTAACATTGGGACATTATGCACCTAATTAAACAGTGTTTTGTGTGAGTTTTAAGGTTCTGCTGGATCACTCAGCACGTTATATTAGATCAATATATGTACTTTGTGTCCGAAAATATGCCTTACTTATTTAGAAAACAAAATTATCATTGTGAAGACATGGTACCATTTAGCTGAATATGTGATGTTTGGTTCGCTATATAAACTTGAAAGATAAGTATTATTATTAAGTATTATTGGGACATCTTATAAACTTACATAATGAGCGATATGTTGTTCATGTGGTTGAGAAACTATTATGCATTATGTATACCGTGAAGGACATTAGGTTCATAGCTACAGAGGAATCATACATTTTCCATACTGGCACTGTACATTTAAGGCGACCCGAATCACCGATCTTCCGCTCTCCGGGCAGACGCCCTTTCCATTAGACCACGGAGGCGGACGCATACACATAGTATGAATGGAACAGGGCCTATCGAGATTTCAACAAGTTTCAATCCTTTCTCCGCAAGTGTTCCGTTTGACCAATGCTCATAGAAGCAGACCAATTTGAAGGGCGTTCTTCGAGTTTCATTGGCTATTGGGGACATCGTTTTATTTTTTTTTTAAGTCTTTTGTTTAAATAAAGGTTTGTTGTTGATAACTTGATAACATTACTAATATGTCTCACCGGCGCAATTATTTTGTCTTTCACTATTCATACGATAAATTGAGGCGTATGTATTAATCATTTCAATATTCATGCTATATGACGGCAGCCTGTAAATAAAGAGCCTGGATCAGACAAACAAGTGATTGATCAACGCTTCACGCCCTTGAGGTACCAGCGGAAGTTACATGGGACCTGTTCTTACCCAGAATCCCATTCGGTTGGTATATGTAGAAAAAGGGGCAAACATTACGGCAACTCAAGAAAATAGAAAAATGCTGTTTATTCGCAAAACTTAAAAAAAGGAATCAACACGGAAATCAACAATAACAATCTTTCTTTGATTTTCATCATATGGTCTATGTAGTCTGTGAGATCGAAGTCTATATACAGAAAACAGCAAGCTGCTGACAAAATGCTCAACCGAGAGTAACGTTGCGAGTCAGACGGTCTAGACATAGTCAACGGTGGTTCATGGTGTCTTTCTTTCGTAAATCATCCTGGGGTAATGTATTTTGCAATTACCAGTTAGTGCCATCCTTGAGCTGCCATCGATTGGCTCCATGTCCAACGCGAGTCAACGACGCAGCGCAGGTAACTTCAAGCTGAGGTAATCTATATTATATATACTCGATAGTGGAACACTCTACTCCGACCAGTGATGGCTCCCTTTAGCTGACTATACTGTATACCATAAGAACAGTCCGCTTTCCACGAAATAACACCAGTTATTATCCAAGAAACATCTTCGATAGTCTACTTTGAACTGACATCAGTAATATATATTCGAAAATTCGTCACTCTGTCACGATAAACGATTGACGCCATTGAGCTGACGCAAAGCAGAAATATTCCCGATGAACACAATTAAAGGATCGACAGCGATCTTCAACGAAATGAGGATAGTTATATACTTCACGAAATGATAATTACTGCCTGTTATATAATCCAAGAACGCTATCTTAATGAAGATCAACGATGATCTCCCATGAAATAAAAATAAGTATGTACTCCAAGGAAACCATGTTCTACGAGAACGAGTCATATAATAGAAAATATGATACAGTAACTCTATAATGGTTCACCATGTACTCATTTGAGCACACGCCAACCAGTTATATATCCGAGGGATACTTATTCTACAAGGATTAGCTACGATATTCCATGGAATGTCAGTTAAACAATATACTCCACGAAAGTATTGTAATCCACTAAAACTATTCTCTACGAGGATCCCTATTTCCATCGACACTCAACGATACCCAACTGTGCGATAATCAACGTTAGTCTTCTTTAAAACAACGCCATGCAACCCGAGGGATATACTCCTCGAGAAGGGTGTACGGCGATCTTCCAGGACATGGTCTTAGTTACATAATATATATATAATAAAAAAAACTGTTCTCTTTGAGCAGGAACAAAGACTTCCCTCGACACGATGTTCGCTGTACATCCCGCGAAAACTGAAGTCAGCGAGGATCATCGATGGTCTTCCTTGAATTTACGTCAGTCATTTACTCCAAGGAAACTATACCCTACGAGAATCAACGATTGTCTTGCTTGAACTGATGTCAGTTTCATGATCCAAGGAAACTATACTCTACGGGGATCAACGATGGTCTTCCTGGAACTGACGTCGGTAATGTACTCCATGGACACGTCCTCGACATCTCCCTCATCGTCACTACTCTGTACCGTCACCGTTGTTATTGACAACGGTTGTCGTGGTGATGGGCCACTGGAACCTTTGTCGCCTTGGTTAACTTTCACGTAATTCTGTAAATTGATCTTATTGCGAGCAGCAATACTTTCTATAGGTTCATAGTCAGTCTTCAGACGGTCGACTGGACCATAGGGCGGTAACGGTGCTAATCTCCGTTTGTTTTTCACAAGTGGGGCTAGTTTTCGTGGCAACACATTCGGCGCCATGTAAAATCGTCCCTGTCGCTCGTGCAAGACACACGAACGTTGGGGAAATGCCTCCGGTCCCATGCAGTACATCTTTCGTGGCATCTGAGATATTTCCGGATACTTCGGATCACGGAAACGCCCCCTCTTAAGTGTACGCATGCGCTCTATGGCAATCATCATAAAGTGTTCATCTCTGTTTTCGAGGCTTCTGCGCAGGTCCTTGATTCTCTGAAGATATTCTTGTTGTCTCACAGCCACTCTCTCGTACTCCTTCAGCCACTCCGGCATAGTGCTCACCACAGCGTCCTGACTGCAGAGAAACAGACATCAAGCTTAGTGTACATGTAGTAATCGTTATAATGCATACAGATCATCTAGATTGAAAAGAAGCTCTGAGAGGTATATCTGCTAACTGTTAAAGAACTGGCTCGGCCTCATGATAGTATTAACGGATCAGAACATACCGGGGGAAAAATATTGACACTGGCTGCGATTACATCTTTTGTTTTTGCCGTACAAGGCCATGTGCACCTCGTTGTATAAGTTCAGTAATCTAGAACGCAACGTTGAACATTTTACAACCATCACTCAGGATCCCCTTACACACCTAAGCACATTTCGAGGAGTACCCAACACTTCCCCACATGTCACCCCTCCACACGGTTTACCACACGACATCATGGCACAACAGCGATAGAAAATATCAGTTTTAGCACCCTAGTCCTTGACACATGGCAAAACCCATAGAAAGGGCAGATTTCTACTAGTCCTTTGAATGCAACTATTGGGCAGTTTGGACTGTAGGACTTGTGCCAATTTCTAACGCTGCATCAACACACTACATGCCACCCGACTGTACTATATTCAATGGCCTACCCTATGATTATTACTTCAACCATATACGTTATGAAACGCAATATACGTTACTCGACTAACGCTTTAGACGACACCTAATACATGTCGACTACTAGTATACCACTGAAACCACTGTGTACCACGAAATGCATTATATACCAACTGCTTCCAAAGTAGCCACCATCCGATTACATTATCTCGCCCCCACTAAACTTCATCCCACCCGTCTACTATATACTAAACATATACAGTCTAGTATATATTAGACCTAGTACACCTAGTCTAATACTAGACTGTCTACCGTCTACTACATATATACACACATACCATAGAATAGAATATTGATAAGAGGGTACAATCCAACTCACTCTTTCAATTATGTGCCACCCGATTAATGTTTGTTTAGTACAGGTTTCAGCTCGCTTTATTTTCTTTGACATTGACTGACTGTCAACGAAAAATGTCATAATGATTTCTAATTTGGTAGTGATATACAAGAATGTCAATCAGAAGTTCTTGTTCGTATTGGTATTTGTCTGAAGCTTTATCACTGTGGTATCTCCATGCACACCAAATACATTAGCAATGAGTTGGCCATTACATACTCAGTCTGTATGATTTAAATGTCTATGCCTTTAACACATTCATTTATATTAGAATCGTGATGTATATATGAGGTGTATTTGTTCAATATCCAGTTACTACAAATAGCACGCAGGCTAACCTTACCGATTACATAGCGTTAATAATTAACTTGGGGTATTAAGTGTACCTGCATATTTATACTTAGCGAAGGTCTCCGTGACCTGGCTACCTTGTTTTGTAAATATTCTAATAATGCGAAATGTCAGCAGCACATATTGGACAACTTTTATTTAATTAATATTACTAATTATTGCATGGACAAAGCTGGCCTATGACATATCATGTTTGCATAATCTAAAGTAAATATAAAACTAGATATTGTATTAATATTATGCGTGGTTGAGTATCATGCGCAGCGTCTGTTATCGACTGAATCACTGGGCTACAGATACGTTATATGATGTTCCTATTCCTAAACAATCTGGTACACCAAATGAAAACCTCACCTGCTGGAGAGCCATTCTGTGGCATGCCGTTTGCAAAGACGGAGTTGCCTGGAATTCATTTTTGCAAAGGTATGTCTCTCCACTTCCGAATGTAACGAAGGTGTGGAAAAGCGCACAGTTGTTTAACATTTCTTAGTGGTATATAATGATGGGCATATCGTCAGAGCATCTGACTTGATTTAATCATACCCTTGCACGACATGATTACCTGGGGATGACTCTCTTATTTAGGCATATCATGTCATGTCTCAAATCTGTATCACAGATTTCGCTTACCTGTTTACAGCTCGGCGGTCTTTGGCATCTCAAATGACCAAGTGTTGAAATCAAATACCTCAATTTTTCAACTAGCATGACATGAGTATATTTAGCCCTCTGTAGTGCAGATTAGTAGCACACTCTCTTATCAGTTTCTCCTTTGCGTCCTTTGTTAATTCTGACATGCATCGATACGTTTGTTTTCTGTGAATACAGATTACAGATCAGAGAGCGTGTAGCCGACATTGATACAACAACAGTTGTCTCCCTTAGATGGTTTCGAAAGCGCGTGTTATATATACAACCCGAACCAGTGATAAATGTAAGATTGATAGTATTGGCCTCAGTGCATGTGTGATGAATGTCATTTGAGGTATGTAGTTCTAAACACAAACTGAATGTATGACTAAAATGTGTAGACCAAAGGCTACATTACTGATTTTTAGATTGAATCAAATCGAATCTTTAAAGCCCATTTTTATCTTCCGGGATCACAAAGAGGTTGTGGACTTTGCGGTCTGACGCACATTTCCAGTGGAGCCCTACACGTTGTAATACGTGCCTTGTGTGGATTTGTGTCTTTGCGTCTACGGCAATAACTAATTAATTACGAGATTCATGAAAATAATAATACTGGAGTAGTTTAAACTATTTGTTAGAAAAATTGCTGGGGGAGAAAAGACAAATTTCAAGATTGAGCGCGATAACGCTATGTGAAAGTTATATTTGATCTGAGACACTACTTGCGTTTGATAACGATCCAGAATGCTATCAGCCGAACATTGTTTAGATCCAGCAACAAAATACAACACCTTCCGAAATGCCACTTGAGAAGCGTTCTTTGTTATTCAAGCCCTTTTAACCGGTGCGGTAGATAAGTATATCAGCCATGAAGACGGATTACACTTCCTCACAAAAGAACTGCTCGTGCCTGCCAGATCGTGTTAACATGGCCCCACGTGGGTCTGTTGCGTCATTGAAAAGTCTCAATGTGAAGCTTAATGTTTGAAAGTAGGGTTCAGCTTAGGAAGTGACTCGAAATCATGTGACAAAAGCTTTTGCCATACCATTTATGGGCGATGGAAGATCGTGGTGTATACAAACCCGTGAAGCATTCACGAATAGTTTGGAGGAAATTGCAATGTAGTCTCAGTCCAAAGCATCAGCAGTGTTTTTTTTTCTGCCTATGCAGTATAATGTCATGTTCACGTAATTATGTACATTATTTTTGTACACGACTGTTTTGGTTAACAATGCAGTTTAGCGGGCGCCACATATTTCTCAGGACTTTATAGGTTATCCCCAGCTCTTGGACCCCTGTCCGATCAAACACCCCTTCACGATCCTTAGGCAGCACTTGCCAATCTAACCCCCCTTTACGATCCTCAGGGTTAGGCAACGTGACATATTTGGAAAAGACAGAATACATACAGTTGTGCCGGTGCTAGGACACTGGAGAAATGGTGACAAATGCATCGACCAGATACGACTATGAGACACATTAAAAGTCAATTCAAAGGCTTTAACAATTCAGTGCGTAACTGTGCACATTATAAGTCAAACCCAAGGCCTTTACAATTAAGTACATAAGTGTGCACATTTTAAGTCAAACCCAAGGCCTTAATAATTAAGTGCATAACTGTGCACATTTTCAGTCAAACCCAAGGCCTTAATAATTAAGTGCATAACTGTGCACATTTTAAGTCAAACCCAAGGCCTTTACAATTAAGTGCATTACTGCACATTTTAAGTCAAACCCAAGGCCTTAATAATTAAGTGATAACTGTGCACATTTTAAGTCAAACCCAAGGCCTTTACAATTAAGTGCATAACTGTGCACATATTAAGTCAAACCCAAGCAGTTAAGTGCATACCTGTGCAATTATGTCTCATAAGTACCCCCGATCAAGTTCCGTCCCTCCTGAAACCCTACATACTTTGGATTCTGGTCATGCCACGAACATTGTTTACATATCACACTAAGGTAGCCAGGTATGATAACTATTAAAAGACACATAATCCAAATGCATTATCAAATCTTTAATGATTTTACAGTTGTGGTCATTGAATGGCCCAGTTCTTTTAAACAAATCTGTAGCTGTACCAGGATTCACTGATCGTTGGATCGAATTTCCTACAGAACACCTAAATAATGTTAGTCTGTCCTTCCTACAAATTAGTATCGTGCGCTCTCACAAACGCCTGACACTACCACACATGTAGCAATGTAACGACCTCTACACTCAGCTTATCGTGCTGTCTTCAGCTTCGAGAGTCCTCGGAATACCCTCACACTTGTACTGGGGTGCAACCTACACTGAAGTCAGGCAATACATGCTTGCACCTGGTGCTTCCATGCCTGACTGTTGACGTCGTACATTTCCACGATGTGTACTTTTTCTCCAATAACAGCTGCATGAGTAAGTGAGTGAGTTCGGTTTAACGCCGCTTTGAACAGTATTCCCTTTTCATCACGGCGGATCAGCTTTGTGTGGGAGGAAAGCCCAAAGTGATGCAAGTCTCAGTCGTTTACTACTTTGGTGAAACACACGAGCACGGTATGGTGCTGACAAACTTAGAAACATAATTGGGGCCGGGATTCGAACTCATAATCATTGGTTGCTTGCATGACACAGGGACAAATCGACGGGGCTATTATTTCCCCCAGTAGCTGCATGAAGGATATTGTTATCGTCACCTTCCATTGAGATTTTACATCAAAGGTGCTGCAACATTTCCGTCTTTGCTTTCAAAGTCTGCTATCCCAGGCGTGCTAACATAACCAACAATGTGTTCACTGCCTCCAGCACAAGCGAGGTGAAGGGTGATGTTACTTGCAGCATTCACTTCTGACAGGTCGCATGCTTTACTCAACAGAAGATCAAATACCTTCATTTCTACATTCTATGCAGAAACCATCTAAGATTTTGCACAAGTTTCACCTCTACTTTCAATGTCTACCTCCCGTGTGTGATGAGATACCCAACAATGTGTAGACAGGTAGTACATGGTTACCTAATCCACCACCGACTTATAAAAAAACAACATCCTCCACTGACTGACTAAAACGATTGTGTTATTACCATTTTCTGCTGCAAATATCACTTGCGTTGTTCCACCCTCACTTTTGCTGTCAATACGTGTGAGGATATATTCTGCAACTTGTACAATACCACCAATTCAAGCGACATGTACCATCCACTGCTGACAGATTACATCCTTTACTAACCAAGAGCTGAAACCCCTTCTGCCGAACCTTCTCCACTGCACACGTCACAGGCGTCGTGCCACATTGACCTCTGCTGTCCATTTCTGCAATCTCAGAGGTGATGAGGTACTCAACTACGTGGTCAGTGTCACCCATGCAAGCGTGATGAAGGATGTTGTTACCTGTATAATCTATTACCGAATGTCACATCAATTATTTACCAGAAACCTGTTCACTCTATCATAGTCTATGGCAGTTGTTTCGTGTGTGATAAGGTACTCGACAATCTGTTCATTGTCATTTAACAAGCGAGATGAAGGATTATGTTACCTGTATAATCTATACCGAATGTCACATCCATTATTTACCAGAAACCTGTTTACTCTATCATAGCCTATGGCAGTTGTTTCGTGTGTGATAAGGTACTCGACAATCTGTTCATTGTCATTAAACAAGCGAGATAGAGGATGTTGTAACTTGTGTCAGCAACTACTGGGAGATTTACACATTTAAACATCAGTAGATCAAAAGTTTTTCCCTGATCATTTTCTGCTGCAAACATCACTGGTGTTCTCCCACATTCCTCACCTCCCTCTGTTCTATGTAGTCCACGTGTGAAGAAATAATTGACAATCTTTACATTGTCACCAGTACAAGCAGGATGAAGGGTATTGTTATACGTATCATCATCCACTACAGGTCCCATTCCTCTCTCACCATCTTCATCTTGAAATATTACAAAAACAACTTGAGCAATGACCGATTTTGATTAGAACAGACATAGACGGATTATTAAGAAAGACGACCAAGGAAACAGGAATACCACACAGTAATTACAATGACGTCATCAGTGTAAGGAAGACACATAGGGTTAAAATGAAAAGTCAATATCTGGTATGTCCGCCATTGACAGCAACACAGGCCATGCAACGTCTTCTCATTGATCTGAATAAGTCTGCGAATAGTGTTCTGGGGCATTCCACTCTTGACGTAGTGTATCGGGCGACAGGGCTGGCCATGGAAGCAGAGGCACATTATTGTTCGCTAGGTACTGTGTTGAAACACGTGCTTTGTGCGCTCTTGCATTATCTTGCTGGAAGGTGTGCATATCCTGGTGCTGATGAAAGAATGGGATGACGTGATTTGCCAATATGTTATTCCTGTAGTAAAGGGCATTAACTCTTCCACGACAAACATTGAGCTCTGTTCGATGGTTATGACTGATGCCGCCCCACACCATGCCACTCACTCCCCCCCCCCCCCCCCCCCCCCCATCGATCTGACGCCACACTCGCAGTCGACCGTCAGCATTCTTAAATGAAAACGGGACTCATCAGAGAACAGCACACCATGCCACTGCCGTAATCTCCAATGACGATGCCTTTTGGCCCAACGCAGACGTTCATTTCGATGTCGATCAGTGAGTATGGGTCCAATAATGGACGTCGAGTACGTAGCCCTGCTGAGCGGAGACGTCGACGTACGGTGTCAGCACTGATCAATTCCGTCGGCCTTGTACGGGTGCTGCAGTCCTGCTAGCCGGAAGTGTACGATCACGAAGACGCCGACGAACAATATGGCGATCATGACGTGGTGTAGTTACACGACGTTGACCCGGACATGGTCGATCTCTGGTGGTTCTTGTCTGCTGGTATCTGCTCTGTAGCCTGAGGACTGTTGAATGATGGCATTGAAACCGATGTGCAACGACTCTACTTGACGTACCAACTGGAAGCATGCCCAAGGCACGTTCACGTTCCTCTGCTGTTAATCTTGGCATTTCTTGTGTCAGTACCCTTTACGTCTGCAGCAACAAGTGATGTGGCTTTTAAAAGTCTGTCTTTTATAGCCCTATTCTGCATGCTTCCCGTGAATCAAAACACGTGTTCCATGATGTGCACGCAATTTGTTGCGTTTTGGCGATTTTGCTCACAAAAAAATTAGGAATGTGTTTTGACGAGCTGTTCTTCTTCATGCTTCGTCCAGAACGTCGTATATTACTCATTCACTTATAAATTTTTGACTTAAGCCCGGATAAAAATACATC